AATTTCATATAGGATTAGTACGGGGTCCTTTATCCGCTTATTCGACAATATTTATAAATTAATATCTCGTTAACATATATCGTCCATCTACATATAAGCTTCCCAGATAGCAACGTGTCCGTCTTGTTGTTGGCATGTTGTTTGCTAAGCATGCATTGCTAAGTATGTGTTGCTACCAGAATTGCGGCAACTGAGTCTTCATTTATTGGGAACTTGATGCCTTCACGATCTGATAATATTAAGTAGCAACTTGCCAGCAATTTGCCGACAACTTTAAACTCGTCATCATCAAAATTCGTACTACTGCCATCAAGTTGCCATATTAATATGCAGCATCATACAATGCTGTAGTATTGCCGTCAACGCACGATAACATTGACGCAGCTATTTTGCTGTTAAACTGTTGGCAATACATATACACATTGTTGTCTGCATGTTACTACAATGTCGGTATATTCGAAATCATTGAAGACAAATCTACAGCAAGTTGCCAGCATCATAAGCAATCACAGATTTGTGCGATTTTGCTGAGACATACTTTGCTATCTGGGATTTTATCAAAACTTATGGGACACTATATACAATTTTGATAGGCAATCGATCTCCGGCAAGATAACAGTAGAATCTCTGGCAGGAAGGAGGTGAGTTTTTTAATTCAGCATAAATCTACCGCATTTTCATCGGGCGATTGACAACATGGCGTCTCCGATGGATGCTTAATGATCTACCTTGAAGAACGGTTTGATGAAAATAGTGACAAAACTGAATTCAATTTAATGTGTGAATTTTTCAATAAATGCCATAAATTAATTTTTAAACTAAACCTTTAAACAATGATTAATAAGATGTCTCATATTTTTGGTCAAAGCTATATGTTTTTACATATTATTTACATATTACATGTTTTCTGCAATTATAATCACTCTACTGTACATATTTCAATTAAAATTCTAGAATTTCTAGAAATTTAGATAATCGAAAATGTGCTTTAAAATCTATATTTGAGTATAAAGGCACTATTCTTGAAAAGGAAATATCAATTTTTATGTGCTTAACAAGTTTACGTTTAATTAATAATAAATCCATATCACTATCACTGTTGTTGGTCATTGAAGATAAAGAATTAGAAAAGGAATCAGAAGATTCATCTTTGAACAATTTTTTTATTAAATTATAATATTGTGTGTGTGTGTTTTCACATTATAGTGCCCATAAAATATAATATTAACCAATAATCGTAATTAATATTTTAGATTAAGAAATATACCCCCCCACTCATGTTCAATCAGAAATTTCATCAGTCCATCGACTAAATTAGTCGATGGATCTGATGGATAAGCGATGATTTCAACGCTGTAAATAAAAATACATTAATGTATTTAATCGATGAATAAAAAAACTCTTTGATGCATTTGCGCTTCATGCGATTGATCAATCGATGAATTAAAAAACTCACCCAAAGATAGCAACCATAGTATAAGGATATATACGGTAGGGACAAGACCTCGTTTTCCATTCAGCCGCGCATATTTGCTTGCGCATCATAAGCCGCCATGTTTTTGGTGGCACCAATCCCGATCAAAGCAGAGAACCCATAGTTTCTCCGTTACTGCAATCGCGCCATGACATATATCAAGCTGCGCTTGTTATAGCGACGAGACACTCTCCTGAATAGCCGATTACAGCAATTAATTTTATGAAGCAACGTGACTGTGCGTGGATGTACCTGACTGATCACCGATTTGATGGAAGATTCTCAAAAGTTAAGATTTTTTATCTCCTTTTTTGGTTGAGTATGTTGTTGAGGCGGTGAGGTCCTAATACTATTGATACGGTATTTGGTCACCAAAGACATGGCGGACTTAAAAAATTCGTCTGAAAAAGATCGAAGATGCCGACGCTGCTTGTTCCTACTGTATATCCTTATACTGTGGTAGCAACCGATAGCAAATGATATATATTGAGTATGATCCGATATATTGTATTATTGGCTGTGTTCCAAATTTACTGCCAGCGTTGAAAATTTTACGGTTTACGTTACGTGCACTATAGATTTTTAGTACCGGCAGTCAATTTTGGAACATAGCCATTGTTTCACGATCCCGTGAGATGTGTTTTTTAACGCGACAGCACCTATTTCGCAGTCATCGACCGATCCGTGTTTACGTTGGCACAAAGGTGCCAGAGCGTCGTGTGCTCACTGGAAAAAGAAGCTTTCAACCCGCGTCCGAGGTTATTTTTCTTAGCTATTAAAAAACAGACTATCTGTCCAGAAGACCCAGGGAATAGAAGTAACTCGTTACTTGTAACGAAGTTACAATTATACAAGTTACTTTTTTGGTAACTTTACTGGTAACTGCGTTATTTTCTTTTTGGTAATTGTAACAGTAATGTAGTTATATTTTTTGGTAACGGTAACGAATTTTACAGTTACTTTTATCGTTACTTTGCATATGATTGGACACGGTTCAATTGGACACAAGCCACTCATAGCTCTTGAGACTAGAAAGCCTCTAGGCACTCGTCCGCTGTGATTGGTATGTAGTCTGTTTTCTGTTCCTGCACTAGACTGTTCTAGAAGTCCCTTTCTCGCTTTAAACAAATATCAAACGTATATTTTTCTCTTTAAGTTTTCACTTTAAGTTCCAAAAGTGTTCAACACTAGTTCAGCCACAGAAAACAGACCTACAGTTGTCGATTTTAAAAAAGTAACGAAAAAATAACGAAAAATTAGGGTGTGTTCCGTTGCACGCATTGAGTGCATAGATCACATTCAATATGCTGCGCACATTAGGTGCATTTAGAAGCACAACCGCTCACTGAGCGCTCAATTAGCGGTGCTTTTGGATACATCCATTAATATCGTTCCATTTCGATAATGCACATAATAATGCGGGCTTGGAAACGGAACGGCTTACCATGCGTTTGATGCGAATAAAAAATGGATGCTACCATGGACGACAATAAGATATTTACTGTTGAGGTTATTACGATACGAGATTGTATATATTTTAATAGATATTTTGAGTTGCAATCGCTGTCACAGCAGTTTCTTGGTTGACAAAAAGGGTGACAACTTCGTTATTCTCATCAATGACTGGAAATTCGATTAAATAACTTGCCATTATTATTGCACTGTAAATCCGAGCAAAAGGCGGCAAAAGGCTTTTGAATTTTTTTTAGACATATCATTCGCATTAAACGCTTCACGTTCGAGCTGCTGTAGCTGATGCACGAGAAGTGGAGAGAATCTAAGAAAATCTGTGCGCGGTATCGGTACTCATTGATGCGCGCATTGATTGAAACGGAACGGTTCTCTATGTAGTCTATGCGTATTATGCGTGCAACGGAGCGCACCCTTCCTTTCTCAAGTAACGGTAACTGTAACGAGTTATTTTTAAAAATTGGTAACTCTAGTAACGGTGACTTGTTACTTTTTCTACTTGGTAACGAGTAACTGTAACTTGTTACTTTTAAAAAGTAATTTTCCATTTCCTAAGATCCTCGATAACGAAATAAACGTCCGCGGCCCGAGATTTGTAGCGAGAACGTGCGATGAATTTGGGTATACGATTATGAATGTATAATATATACGTCTGTCGACAATCAGTGCATTCAGAACGGACAACCGCTCAGTGAGCTCTTGCATCTGATTGGCATATTCCGTTAGGGCCATTCCACACAAACTTGCAGAGCCACATAACCATATGTGCATAAAGAAAATTATCCAATCACATTTCTGTCATAAAGACAAACGTAAACTACGATTGAATGATTTTCTTTATGCATATGTTTATGCGGCTATGCAAGTTTGTGTGGAATGGCTCTTAGAACGAAAAATATGGACCAAACAGATACAAAAGCTCACTGAGCGTTCAGCGATCGGTCATAGTACTGAATAGGCGTATCCAGAAGCACAACCGCTTCAAACCGTAAGAAATTGGCCAATCACAGTTGAATATGAAAAAAATAATCAACTACGATTTGTTAATTTCTTACGGCTTACGACTTGCAGCAACCCTATTGTAGAACAGGCATAAGTCGCGTAATATCAATTATGAAATTTTTTTCCTAGGATGAAAAGTGAAAAATTTTTCCATTAACTTCAATGGTTAAAATTTTCACCTTTCACTTTCCATCCTAGGGATAAAGTTCCATGATTGATATCCTGATCATTTCTGATGTGTCGCACAGATAACCTGTTGCCAGACGCGCGAACACATCTACGTGTAAACAACGCCGGGCGAAACGGTGACCGTTCGCGCGCGATCGATAACGAACCTATGCGAGCCGCTGCTGTTGCTGTTGCTACTGTTGCTAATGCTCAGAATGCTCGGCCGGGCCGGCTCGATGGGCTCGGACGGCGCTAAATGACGATATCGATGATTAAAGATCTGCTGGACGGGCGCAAATTGGCGCAAATTTGCGCGGATGAGTCTCCTCGGGTGATAAATGAGCGGTAGATATTGGGATCATTGATGGAAGAAAAGGATCGGAGATCCCATCACGAAAGGAAGTTACGTACCGTTGAAGATACGAACCGACTGAAAATACCGCGGCTGTGGAGGCACCGCATGCAAACTGTCCTATCCGTTCGCGATCTACATCCGTCTCTCGGAAATAGAATTTCGCGATGATGGATGTGACGCGAAAGCTTGGCCGCCACGTACAATTCAGACTGCGCGCGCGAGTCTTCTATGTTTTCGAACAAGACCGCGTACCCGTGTATCCTCAGCTCAGCGGCGTGGATATTACGTCGAAACACGCCAAGTATACGCGCTACTTTCTCCGTCTTGTCGGTCGTGAAGAAAAAACGAGTCTGTCCTGGTCTCTCCTCCTGGTGCACCTTTGTGCGCGCTGCGTGTTTCGAACGGAACCAAATAACGGAAATAAATGAAGGGAAAAGAAAAAAAAGACTTCGCAGAGAGCTAATTGCGGACGACAAGCAAATGGTTTGCTTCGCTCTTGTGAGCCGAGCGAAAACAGCGAAAAGCAGTTACCTGTAGACTGTCGATGAGCTTCAGCTCTTCGTCCGCGAAGAGAACGGGCGAGTCCGTTTGCGCACCAATAACACCTCACGCCATAAACTTCCCTCCCGATGACGAAGCGGCCCTCTCCCTAGATTTAGAAAATCGCCACCGATTGCTGCAGGCTGTTCGCCTCACCTCTTCTCTTCCTTGCCTCACGAGAAGACCTCGCGGAAATCGTTACATTCTCTGTCTACTGGAAACTGCGCTCTTCCCTTAACGTCGTCAGATCAACGGCGCGGCGGC